GACGAAATTTTTCAAAATTAATACAAGCTCCAATGGACAAGCAACAACGCGTTTTGCTTTGTCGCTTGTTGCTTGGAGATTTTATAGAGTTTATTATTTAATAAACTCTAGATTTAGACTTAAACTTTAGATATTAGTACCATTACTAATAATTTTATAGTATAATTGTAATTAATAAATAATTGCATAAATATCCACTAAACGTCCTTAAACTTTATGACAAAGTATACCTTAGGTACATCTCCTAAGTTTAACACGTAGTTAAGTAATGCACTTAATGCTACAAGTAATAAATGTCACAATTTAATGATAGCCATTACACTAAAATGTCGAAATATGTACAGGAATTAGGAAGTAAAAGTTTTTAATGTGAGAGGTACGACTAAATGTCAGTACAACAATCGTTCTTGACCCGAAACAACCTTACACTTGGTTCATACAAGTATCGAGACTATTTATTAGCAGCTCTATACAATTATTAATGATTTTATAATGCTGTTATAAATGTCGCCACTTTCTTTATAGAAAAAAATTCTTCTATCAATTTTATATTGAAAGTTATTAGTTCCAATTTTGGCCACCCGAAGAGATAAATTGGTGGCACTGTATTGTCGTATAGGTGTCAAAATGATTCGTCCATTAATGTTTTTCGAGGTCATTACTATGTACGTGAAAAGTGAATACTACTTTCACTTCTTTAGTTGAACTCTTGCTTCTTTTGATTTAATAGTTTTTTGTTTCCAAAATTGCGATCTGTTAATACTTTAACTGCCAACAAAAATTCAAACCTCCACTAGCGTCAGGCACCGGTGACTGACATGGCAGTCTAAGGGTTAAAATGAGAAATTGCGATGTGTGAATTGACTATATTAGAAATTAATTATAACTTGACTGCCTCTTTGGCCGAGTAGTCATAAGTGGTACTGCCGGGCAAGGTTTCTCGGGTTCAATTCCCGGGTCGGGCAAAGTATTACTGGGTTTTTAAATATTCTCAGTAGTAGCACGGAATTGTGCCCGGTATATGGCAATAGGCGCACCCCCTATTACATGGGATTCAGAACATAAATAGTGAAAAAAGGGTGTTACATTGTACAATGGCATAATGTGCACCTCTGCCTACCCTTTCGGGGATAAAAGGCGTGATGATATGTTATGTTATGTTATAACTTTACCGCATCCAATAGTGATCTGTATTTTATTCTACCTCGCCACCTAGATTTTGTTATGGGTATCATGTGTATGAGAACTTGTAAGTATGTTTGTACAGGCACCTATAACACTGGAGAAAACTCTAGTTTGGTGCAACGTACCAAAAAAAAAAACAAAAAAAGAACTTGCAAAATAAATAAGAAAATATGATACTTCCTAACAAATGAATCTTACAATTTATTACGAATTTAAATTCTTCACTATGACATATACGATGCGACATTACTTATCATACGTTGTGGTCAATAAATTCAAAGTGCTTGTTTTACTTAACTACTAATTCCTAGTACATTATAATATTATTTTCCTTATGATAACCATTGGAGTGATCTTAATGTTTGTTTGTTTCTCTCGTTTATTTGTGTCTCGTCTTATGTTCTACGTTGTTTTATTAACCAATTTCAAAAATGGGAAATTGTCAGTTTGACTTTCATGTTTGTGCGCAATTATCTCGCGATTGGCTAAACCGATTTTTATACGGTTTCCAGAAAAGTTTTAGTACATTATAAATCGACTTAAAAAAAAGAGATCGTTGAAGTCGGTTTGTTTTTTTAAACGTAGTATATAAAATAATTATTATCAGCTTATATATCTCTATATTACTCTTTATTTTGAGATGAATTGATGATTTTCCCCCCTTAAAAAAAATACTTTCAACACAAACATGGGTAAACCTAATATTTGTAAAAAATGAGTATATTACATACATATAGGTATAGGTACATAGTACCGAATATTGCAACTTAGTCAATTACTACCTTGATCCATATTGTAGGAGGTTAAAATTATATTGCCTTTAATATAATTATACCATGTTGACTAAACTATTTAATTGACACGTCTTTAAACTATTAAAGACGATGTGTTTTGCCAATAAAGTCAATTAAATAATTTAATTTCCTGTTCATGTATTTAGCACTCTAATCAATGGTCTGCTATTAGCTTTATATTTAATAGGTACACGAAATGTCGCAGCAACGCATTAATCAATCAATTTTCTATCTGTGTAAATTCTGAGAAGACAAGAAGTCAAAGACACAGACATTTTATATTATAATACCAATTTTCCTGTAAAACCAAACCAAAGGGTTTTATTACTGTAAAGTATCAATGTGTCAATTAATATAGGGATAATCCTTACAGTGACTAATTGGACCCAACTTTATAACGGTTACAAAAAATCTGTTTTCCGCATCTTAAGTTTTTACAACTCAAATTTTTGTCAAGTAATACTCGACACATTCGTATGTTTTTATGTCCGTGTGGGCTATAAAAACACATTAGAGACTTGGAGAGTGCCAAGTGGGCCAACCTTAAGTACTTATTGCACTATATTGGTCCATTTTGCGGTTTATTTTATTTACTTGCAACATTTTCATGAATACCAATCATTCCGTTATTTTAATACGTAGTACAAATAGTTTTAGAGTGCTGGTGCTGCTTGACATTTAAGTACCGTATCCATTTTTTTTAAATTTCGGTTCGATATTTAATGAACATTTTCAGTGTCACAGCTCTCTGAGACAATGGAAATGTTGATTAACTGTTAAGCTCATAACAGTTAGTCTATTGTTTTCAAATTTCGAAATGCATGTCAATGTTCAACGGAATTCGCTTGTTCTTTTTTTGAAATTTAAATGATGTTACTTTTTCGGTTCGAAATTTTAGGTAGGTTACTTATGAATATGCATTATATAAATGTTCTTTTTTTAAATAGCTGAATCTGTGAAGATAAAATGACAATAGTTGATATTATGCTTCATGTTTTAGGTCATTAAGGTCATTACAAGAAGTCAAGGTTATGTTTGTTAACAATGAGTTACATGAGTTATTAATTGCTTGAAAAAGTGTTAGTCTACAAAAATTTAAAGTACCTGTGAACAAACATGTTCTATTTTGGGACAGTAATATGGTGTTTGAATTAACGATTAGGAATCGTTTCCATCGTTTCGTTTGATGATTCAAATGTAGAAAAAAATATCATTAGCATTGTCAAAGAAAAATTTATTAAAGGACAGTAAATCATTTGTGAAAGTGTTAAAAGCATTTTATAGCAAACACTTTGAACTTTCAATTTTATTCTTTTGTTTATAGAAATTAACAAACATGTAATGGTAACGTTACCTAGATATTTTATTTATGACACGACTTTCTCTGGTTTCTAAGAATAATCGTACTTCTTCAATCTTGTGATGTTTAGTATTGAAGTAATGACTATTTATATCAAAACTTTCGTGAGACCATACTAAATTAATTGTTATGTTTTCGGCTTCAGTTCCACCAGTTTCGAGTTCTTCATCAAACAGTTACGTGAGTAAGCCGAAAACATGATCACTTAGTATAAAACGAAGTCTATCCACCGTCTGTCTGTCCCTATGTATGCTTAGATCTTTAAAACTACGCAACGGATTTTGATGCGGTTTATTTAATAAAGTTATTCTTTTAAAGAAGGTTTTATATGTATAATACATGCATATTGCACCTGTGCGGAGCCGGGCCGGGTCGCTAGTAAAAAATAAAGACAGGTACTTGAAGATGAAAGTAAACGAATAAGTATTCATTAAAAACACATACAGACACAGGGTCTCCGATATTAACTCAATTCATTTAAGAGTAGGTACAATTACAATGCAGAAAACAATATAGTGTGAAAAAATAGATCCCTTTATAATACGTTATAATAATATGTTAATACGTAATTTTTTGAAATAGAAACATTTTATCCCCGAAGGGTTAGGCAGAGGTGCACATTACGGTATTAAATGCCACTGTACAATGTAACACCCACTTTTCACTATTTATGTTATGAGTCCCATGTAATAGGGGGTGACCCTATTGATATAAATAGAAACAGACTCTTTAAAATATATTCTAGTTACTAAGCTGATTTGGATTTTTTCGTCTCCTAACGTCAGACTAAACAGCGTTATTATATAACCATAATAATATTTAGTACCTAGACGGTTTTTTCTCATATCTATTCATTTAAGTTTAACTTAATAACGATGTGAGATAATCTAAAATCTGTTTATAACTTTTATCAATAACCGATCTTGGGAAAAGCCGACATGTTAATACGTCATATGAAATGATTAATGGTCACTGCATAATGGTCTGTAGTGTATACTTATTTATTATATACACTTTAACATTTCAAAATAATTCTGCAATAAAACCTCCTCAATTAAGTCATATTTGTAGATTCAGGAAGGATCTTCCTTTCATGCCATTTTCGAATGTAAATGAATGTATTTTAAGAACCATTTTCTTTTAATTGCACATTGAAATGCAATATGCGACAATGAAGTCGTGATATGGATGTTAAACTGAAGCTTATAAATAAAAATAATTATTTTGAATTAAGTTACATTTATAAACAGATTTACATAATTGAATATCATCAGATTTTGGTATTTGCATTATACTTAGAAAACACCCCTAAATTTTATTTTTCACATATACGTAGGCCAGGGCCATATTGGAATGTCTTCAAGTATCGAGTGAACAGGCTGCTCATAGGTAGGCGTGCTCCATCGTCAGCCACATAGATGTAATAAAGAAGCAGCCATATCATCCCTTACCATCAGACAAGATGGAGGCCTAACGTCAACCTATCAAGTATAAAAAATATATATGTATTATAGGGTCACTTTTCATATACCTAATATCGTTGAAATTGAATTAAATATATATCATTTAGTAACAAGTACTTAAGTATTTGGTTTTAAATGAAATATTCTTTGGGAACATTTTAGAATATAAATTTTAAGAGATCATTTTCTTTGTTTCAGCTGATCCAAAATGGATTTGGAGTTTCGGAATTTGACGTACACAGTCCAAAGTCGCCTACCAAAGGGTAAGTTATAACTTTATACCATATATAAAAATATAGGACCTAATACATAGTCTTACATGTAGAATAACTGCGAATAGTCTGAAAAACCCGTATAAAGGAAAATTTTCTACCGGAATATTGCCAGGAAACATTTACCAATATATTATTAAGAAAATATTACAAGAAAAATGAAATAACGACTTAACATAATGTATTGGGCATGGAACATAAAAACTTTATAATTACCTATTATTAAAACTGATAATTTAAACCCGGAGATGACTTGACTATTACTCTCCTGATAGTTCTACCGAAATCTGTTTTATCACGTTGGCTAGGAATAAAAACCCGATACTACGTGTTTTATGGACCTCATTGTGTCCTGATATCCGTATATTTATTCTTATTTTTATTCATTTCATTATACTTTTTATACACGTGTCGTTAGACCAGTAAAATTGAAAGATAAAAATATAGATATATAAGTCTATTATATTATATATTTATATTCGGATAACACATGATTTATAGAAGAACATACAAGAATGATGCAAATTTTCATGGGATTTGAATTTAAACAACAGTTAAAAGATACAGGCGAATTTATGGATTGGACAAACAATTTCTTACAGTGATAATTTCGTAGTTAGTTTAACCCATGATGCCTTACAGATATCTAAAAATTAAACTGAGAAAGTGGCGGCAGCATTGTCAATATTTTCGCTACCTAACCTTACGTCACCCCACAACAGGTATAAACCCCCAAAGAGGAGAGGCTTTTGTAGGACAAAGATTTTTTTGTCCAGACCGCAAAACGACTGTAATGAAAACGTTTAATCGAGCTAATCCGAGTATTGAAATAGAATGCTTGAATACTTTTTATACGTAATAGTTGTGGTAATTTTTTGGTCATCAAAGTTGCTGGTTATAAGTAGATTAGTTTATTTCTGTTGGCATAATTATGTGCAAATAGGCGAATGGTTTGTCTAGTCACGCATAATCCTCGTCCCTTGTTTACATTTACTTGGAACACCAGTGGTTGAGCACGTGCGTTATCAACTTACATAAAATGGTTGTCAAATATTTTATTAAAACCACTAAGTCAGGTTTCAATCTTCTTTCTTATGGCAATGGTAGGTAAGCTACCTTTTGGATTCTCTGTAGTGTCTTTAAAGTATTGATTAAAAGTTAATAAAACCGAGACGGACTGGCAATTGGCAGAGTAATACTAACTGATAATAAAATCATAAAAACAAATACACGAGAACAAAGAAACATTACATTTATGAATGTGTTTAAATGTATAGGTATTTAAATGCCCGTATACTGAAAGGCTACACACTTATAAGTTATATATTTAAACCAGCAGTGCCCGCGACTTTGTTCGCATGGAATAGTAATTTACTGCCCTTACCCCGTAGGTGATAGCGTGATAATATGTAGCCTATATGTTGACCCAACATGGTAGTAATAACCATACAAAATTTGAAGTAAATCCATGCAGTACTTTTTGAGATCAACCCGGACATACATACAGACAAACAGACAAAAATTCTAAGAACCATATTTTTGGCTTCAGTATCGACTATAGATCACGCCAGTATTTTAAAAAACTATTTAATGTACAATTTTGACTTTTCTACGATTTTATTATATGTATAGAATAGAATAGAATATAACAATATAGAATATGTATAGATATAGATATCGTGCTATCTCTGTCATTTACAATGAATTTTTAGTGACAGAATATACGTCCTAAAATTGAGTGGCGTTTGAGTATTTGGACATAGTTATGTCCTATTAGTCAAAATGAAAGTTTTAATCTATGTCACCTTTTCTTGTCAGCTATTGTTATTTTACAATAGATAAAAAATGTGAGTACGAGTTCAACATAAGTCAGCAACGGTAAATCTTTTAAGGGACTTAACTGATGTTTTATACTTGTCACTAGTAATTTGGGGTCAGCATAAATTACTTATGTTATTCAATGGCACTTATATATTCGACATGCTTAAGTATGTAGGTATGTACCTACATGGTAATGAGACTAGATTTTATCGTTTTAAGTATTCGCACACTTGATCAAAATTAAAAGAGGAGTAGGTACTTGCGTTTCTTCATATTCATGACTGCTTTCGTCCTTCTTTAGTGGCGTTTCTTAAAGCAACGCTTGCGTTGTGTTTCGTCGTGTGAGTGAGGTTACCGGAGGCCCAATTACCCTCCCCCTTCCCAATCTCCCCAATCCCTGAATCCCCAACGATCCTCAAACTCCTAATCCCCAATAGGCCGGTAACGCACTTGTAACGCCTCTGGTGTTCCAGGTGTCCATGGACGACGCCGATTGCTTACCATCAGGTGATCCGTCTGCTCGTTTACCGGTTTATGCCATAAAAAAAGTTAAACACATAATTACTAATAGAATAACACATCTGTTCATGTTACTTGTTTTTCACCGAGAAATAAAGATTTTTCTCTCTTTCTCACAAAGAAATTAAATTAGAGTGGTTACTTCAGAGATTAATACCTACGTTCGATTACAAAGACTCTCGTCATATTATCTATGGTTATTTTAATAATAAAGTAAAGTGTGTGTCCTGTAAATGGCATTCAGACTTCCTTGATCTTTTCATGCCACATTCTGATCGCCTTTTTCAGATATAAAACCTGAATTAAAGCTTCCGAAAATCAAAAAGACGTATGGTACTGGCCGCTGACACTTAAAGAATCTGCTCTGCCTGCTATTTAGTAAAAAAATAGGTTAAGTTTTTTACAATGGTATCATTGACTTCGTTTTTTAACAACATTATTTATATCCACGTAGGTAAACGTCTTAGTGGAAAAAGACTAATATGTCTGTGGTTATGGTAAGTAGCTATTATCTTGCATTTAGTATGAATGTTAAATTTTGTTTCAAAACAAATAATATGGTGAGATAGGTCAGTGTGACATACAATTTGACCACTATAGACAATAATGGTATCTTGAAATGGTGCAGAACATTTCCTCAAAAAGATCACCTTAATTTTTGAATATTTTTTTCGACTCTTTGGTCTTATTTCTTCTTAATCTGATTTTTTATTTATTGTCATTAGTGGTTTGTATTATAGGTCATTGTCATTTGTGAAAAAGGATTACAGACATGAGAATTTATGTGTTGTATTTTATGTGATTTTAGTTCCTTGTAGGATAATGCAACGTAGCTATAGTGGTCAACAATACTACGAGTATTAGCCTTGATACTCTTCTGTTTTTATTAAGGGGGGAAAAAGTATCGAATGACTTCTCCCGCATGGGTGAGGCGGGAGGGAGTGTCAGACTCTTACTGACTCTAAACCACCCTGTTCCTAGTCCTGCGCTTCGAGCCGGAGCCCCGGTAACCCGTTAGGTTTTCTGCGACAATACTGTCCTGTTTGGCAGTGAAAAACAAAACATTTAAATTTTTTATAGATACAAGTAAGTAATAAGTTGGTAAAGTCAATTAATAGTATCTACCAATAAAACGGTAATCAATTAATGATTACATTTTTATTAGTACATATTTCTGAACCTAAGTAACCTATCATAATAGTGTTTCTAATTGTACATTTTAGTGCTTTTGTTTGGTTTAAATATTTTTATTGTAATTACTTGAAAAATTCATTCGAGTTTCACAATTAGAGGTAGTATTCCAGAACTATGATTTCTCTCCAATTTAGTTGTACCTAAGTGATCTCGAACTGCGAACTACGATTGATTTTGGAACCAGTGTAAATATTTGATTTTTTAAAATACCTAGTTATATTATTTGCTCGATATATATTATTTAGGAATTACATAAAATACCATTTTAAACGTAATAGGCATGGTATTTGGTCTACAAACATAGTCTAGACAGACGACACGTGTAGGAATTTGATAGTGATTTTAACTGAAAACAATATGGAAGATTTTCAAACTCAGCTATGTTTTCGGGGAAAAAACACAACACAATAATGCGTTATCAACAAAGTACTGTCGCGTGTTTGTACGCATAACCCAGTTTTACAACGATACTGTTGGTTCCGTCGAACCAACAAACTCACGTGTCCGTGAACGCATCAACCGCCAGCTGATATTTGTCACAGTAACCTTATAATTTGATAACCCTACTAGTGAACCGAGTTCCTAATTAGTACTTTAGTATTTCGCGATAACACAAGGACATTGATTAAGGAGATTCGGGGGCCAAATTACGGCCCCGACTCACTCTCTGCGTGATTTCTTTCATCATTAGTTGGTAAACAATGATAATAACAAGGACATGTCATTATTAATGTTTTAATTAGAGAATTTAATTATGTTAGTGAATAGCTCAAATCTCTTTTTCTGAAACCAGTAAGTTCTGGTCAGATATGTAGATATTATAATACCGACAAACATTTTACATGCAATTTGAATGGACGGCTCGTATCCTATCTTCTACGGCGGTCGGTAAAATTCACCGACTTTTTCTTTTTCGTTATTTTCATTGTAGATATAACTAGGTACTAACACTCTTACGTCTTCAAAGTAGCCTAAGTTACTTCTCAGCTATTTACCAATAAATTGGTCCAGCTATTTCAGAGATTGCTCAGTGCATACAGTCAGACAAAAATTTTAAAATGTGGTATTGCGATACATGTAACGTATGTATATTCACATGCATGTAGTAAAAAGCGGTTATTTCAATATAACAAACAGACAATCCAATTTTATTTATCTATATAGACGTACCTACATATAATTCTAAATACTTCGTTTCACGCAAGAAATCATGTAGGTATTCTGTAGTTCTTTGCACTTACGTAAGGACTCTGCAGCAGATTTATTTTCGTCGTGAACTTTATTAATCCAGTTTATAAATTAGTAAGTAATATAAAGCTATAAAGTCTATAAATAGGGAACTATCGTTCTTGTAAATATTATAGCCGCCTGTACTTAGTTGTAGGTCATCCAAGTCTTTGAGGAAATTGAAAGTTGTGATATTAATACAAAAAATGTTAAAGCATCACCTTCAAGGC